TTCGAAGTTCCCTGACTTCAGCTCGGGTTTCAGCAAGCTCCCTCTGAAGCATTGTATTGTTGACTTGAGCCCTTTCCTGTGCAGACTCTAGTTGGCGAATGTGTACAGTGTTAACACCAGTGTTGGAATCAATCTCCAAGATTCGATTGATAGATGATTGCCCCAGTATCGTGTTCCGAGACATCCTTCTAACCATGATGGGTAGAACTCTGTCAGCAGAACCCCCATCAGTGAGGTTGTAGAAACTTCTGTCTCCATTGTAGGGAATGGGTTGACCTTGTTCATGGGTCCAGGTATTCAAGTTTGTTGCCCACAGAGGTGTGGGTCCTTGAAATGCAGGTCAGGGATTGTTATTTGGGGCTTGGCCTACTTGAGGTAGGTTGTTGACTTCGGGTTCTGGGTCAGAACCATCAGAAAAGCCTTTAGCTTCATGATCATCCAAAGGAATCGGGTGATCATCTTCCGGTTCCTCTTCTAGCCATCCTGCATTGCCGTGGTTGGGGAAGTACGGGTCTCCGGGGATATGGAATCCAGCCATTTAATCTATGCGAGAATAGGGATAAGGAAATAAGTAATAGACAAACTAACTAGATAGTTATTAGATGATCTTTATCAGTTACTCCAATACTTGTTTAGTGCATACCAGCTACATATACTCATGATAGGATAGCCCTTCGAGTAAGTGGATCCTAACTTTAAGCCCACAATCAAACAAGAACAGGAAGTAAAGCAAAGATTTACAGATTCTTAGGCTATGACATCCTAGGCAAATATACCCGTAACGTATCCACTAAGCAACTATTGACATACAAATAAAGATCTTTAATTCTCACATAAGCGATTATTGTAACACAAAATACTCCTATAGTATTTTAAGTTTAGTGTTCTGTTCTACTGTTCTCTTTGTAGTAGTGTTGGTAAGTTTTTAGACTTGTTGCAACTTCACAACCATACTTAGGCACATGCTAATCACTCCTTGGATAATGTAGTTAATCAGGCTACATCTTCCCAGGGTTGACCATATGTCTCTAAGTCTACTTGTGCAGTCCAACAATCGTAATACTTTTGTGCTGTCCTAGTGATACTGATTTTAGTATGAATGCAAACACGTACACTTAATTAAATATTTTATTATTTAAAAGTATAAACTCTTTATCAGAGTATTTTAATCCCGCTTGTGTTTATAGTTCGTATATCTTTTATGGGTTGATACACTCGATTCACTATAAACAATGCTCTGATACCAATCTGTCACACCCCCAAAACCGATGAACGGCGGAAACGTTATGGGGTGGAGGACGTCATGTACAGTATCACAACAATGTAAATTAGTAAACAAGCAACAACATCATCCATTGCATTAATAATATAATTTCATACAAGTGTGTTCTGTCAAGTTATATAGACACCAAAAATATACATCAAAAATAAAAGAGGAGTCTTGAAAATGCTCCTTCTTCTCAAAATCCGGCGCCTGTACCTGTCTACTGGTGACCTGAGAGTACAAGTTATTTTGAAAGAGTTTATCAGCTTTAGAGCTGGTGAGTTCATAAGTATATTAGTGTATGAGTTTGTATGAAAGCATTTGTAAGGTGTTTTGTAAGATGTATTGTGTATGTTTGTAAAGGTTTTGTGTTTGTTTGATCTACTCTAGAAAACCCTATGTTTCCTACTAAAAGTAGCCTTCTACCAAGGAATCTAGTGTCTGTGTGTGTATCTCTTGTAAAAGTGTGTATTTTCCCAATTCCAACTATCATTAACCAAAAATATAGTTTCTACATTACCGTGCATCGTGTGAATATCACAAAGTAAAATGTAAAGGGAAAATGTTTTAGTACTGTAACGTAGTTTTAAGTAACTACTGCTATACTAATTACCTTAAGCCAATTGTATATTTTAAGGTAACATGTGATCGACCTGTATCTTGCTACCGACTCAATAGTAAAGTGACAATGTAAGATGCCACAAAAATGACGTTTGACACCCGTAGACTTGCATGTCCCACTGTAGCGAGCAGCAAGGTGTAGGATAGTCAATCCAGTATAGATCTATACACAAACCCCATACGCTCCCCAATTAAGGAGATTCTGATACAAAAACAGTCATGGCAGGTAGTGCCATGCCCTGCTTAATGGCTCACATAACTGTGTATATGTATATATAATGTATATGTAATGTATATGTGTGCTAGCTGTATTGTGCGTTCTTTCTCTGTCTAGCCTGTAGGTTTGTTTCTCATCATAGTGTCTATTGTTTGTTTCTCCTCACTCTGTCTCATGTTTGATTCTCATCATAGTATGTACTGACTCATGTATGAACTGACTCATTGTATGTTTCATTGTTCTAGTAATAGTATCTTCCTAAACTACCCCTATGGTAGCTTACTAATAAAGTATGAACATGTCTGTATGCCCTTGCTACCCAAGGGCATGGAATTGAATGAAAGAAATGGCCTTTTATATCTATATACATATACATAATATATAACTAGGATTCAAACGACCTTCAGACAACTAACCTTGATACCCTAAGACCACATTAAACAAGAACAGGAAGCAGGGTAGACTAGCAGTCCTAAGTCCTTTCAATCCTACTTATGTAACTATATTTATACAGATACACAGAATATAAGTTTAAAAGAGTTTAAGTAAAAGTATTTGACCATTGAAGGAGTTTGTAAGACAATTTGAGGTAAAACAGTTTGATAAATAGTTTGGAAAGTAAGTAAACCATTTGCTTGGTAGTCATTAATCACATGTGATTGATATAATAACTACAATTGTTCAACTTGTATCCCCCCCCCCCCCTAAAAAGCATTTAAAAACATTTCAAAGGTTATTTTAGGGGTATGAACTCACCTGTGGTGAGTGGTTCTGATGACAATGTTGTAACTGTTGTTAAGTATCAAGTGGTGACTTGAGTACAAACGTGAATCCTATTTAGCATATATTGGCACATATATGAATATAACTAGTGTTATGAACAACTAATTAACGAATTTGGACCACCTTAGGGACTAGTAAACACTTCTTTTGAAGTGTTACAACCATAAATGATTGTACGAAGGGTTAAAAGGCTATACAAGATAGTGTATGGCCAAAATACACACTATATGTGAGTGTGCGGCCATGTGTGCTGCCAGCACATGTGTGCGGCCAGGTGTGCTGCCAGAAGTGTGTGCTGTCAGAAAACATGGTGTTCTTGGTGAAAGATGTTACCTTTCCGGATGATACTTGAGAGGATTTTCGAGTCCTACCTTTGTAGAAGTGTAAGAAATGATCAAAATGACCAAGGATAGTATATATATGAGGGTGTGTGCGGCTGGAGGTGTGTGTGGTTGGCCTGTGTGCGGCTGGCTGGCCGCACGCACCAGTTTTGGTGTGTTTGGCTCGTTTTTCCAATGCTACAACCAAACTAACCCATCCTCCGACACGTATCTCAATTATACTAAGCTTTAAGCACTCTTTTAGACCCAAAACTTCATTATAAAATAGCAAAACGAAGCTAACTTTGATATAAAAGAAGAATGTAAGCTAGAAATTTCGGGTTGTCACATAGAATTTATGTAATATTAAATGTTTGTGTATTAAAAAAAATATAATTTAATTAAAATTGAAAAAAGAAAAGGAAATAAAGTGTTAAGAGTGTTACCGCTTTCTATGAAGTGTAAAGAATTCGGTACTAGGACAAAAAAAATGACTAAAAAATGTGACATGACAAGTGCTAGGAGTGTTACCAATCTCTTTAACCTTGGACATAATAGACTCACACAGTTACATAAAAACCCATATTGTGATCGTTATTCATGTCATGATATCCGAACAAAGTTTTCATTATACAATGGACATAAATATATACATATTTTAAAAAGGTCAATATATACATATTTTAAAAAGGTCAATACGTAGTAATACCAAGATGTTTTATAACTTATATACATATGTTATTTATTTAGAATTTATTAGTGATAATACATATCACAAGACTTGCAATGTATATAATTTGGGATGCAAAGACCTCATTTCCAAGCTATATGAAAGATGGTTGGAGTCAACGTCACCAAATACTTCATTTAAAAATATACAAGTCTACACACCTCTCTTCCCATTAGAATCTAGTCAATTTACTTTTAGAAAATTTTTAGTTGCTTAAGGATGCAACATGAAGAATTTTAAGAGTGTTTGAGATTATTTTTAAGCTCAAAAGATTTTTCTTTTTTTTTTTTTTTTTTTTTGATTTTAACTTTTGAAGAATCAACAATCAAAAGTTGTTTTTAAAAGTGTTTGAATTGTACTTTTTTGATTTTTGAATATAATTTAACTTTTAAAAAACAAAAAGTTACAGAAAAATTCAATTTTTTCTTACTTTTAAAAACTCATATTTATCTTCTTCTTTACAAAAAGTTATTTAAAAATAATTTTTTATATTTCCAAAAAATCTTTTCGATATTTTTATTTTTAGAAAAAATTAAAACCAAAAGTTATTTCAAGATAATCCCGAACACCCTCATGGCTCATCATCTTCAATCAACAATGCGCATGCTTGGCTAGGAGAGGGAAAAGGTTTCATCGAAGAAAAACCGAGTATCTCTTAAAATGTCATACTCGCTGTTTAATACCAAGAAAAACTGAGTATTTCGTTCATAAGGAAACTTGCAATGTGAGTAAAGCTTTGAGACACTAAAGAAGCAATCTTTCTATATCGAGAGAAATGATTATGATTTTTCGGCGTGAAACATTTGCTCAACAAATGTTTAATCGGCTGGAGAAATTGACGTTCAAGGTATGGTCTACTCTCTCCTGCTAAATATTAATGCTCGTTATGTGTTCGATGATATGTCTCTTACAGTTTCGCCATGTTTTCTTTAACTCCGTTCTTTGCTTTCCTGATCGTTATTGTTTATTTGCCTTTGGATTCAAAAGGGTATTCTATTACTTCCACAGTTCATATGAACTTCAATTATTTTGCTAATAGCATTGATTACATAAACCAATGCTGGTCTAACATTTGCAACAAAAACTATATCATTTCCACATTTGAAAGATTAACATTTACATCAAAGTGTTCCAGTTTTGTGGAAGGTATCACTTCTACGGTGTGCTTTATTAACATTGTATCAACATAAACAATTTTCATTCCATTCCATAATGGAACAAAGAAAAAAAACAAACTTCTTTTTTCTCATTCCAATAAAATGAACAATTCCATTCCTTCCTCAATTCTATTATATCAAACACTATACGAAACTACTGTAACATGCACAAAATTTCTGTAGTGAATACATAAAAGCATGAATGGTTGTTTAGTTCTCTCGAATCTTGATTCAAAGCTCAGTTAATCACCAATATTTTCTACCACATAGAATAGCGTAAAAAAAATAATTTAGAAATCCTCTGTTTCTTCTGAGCAATGAGTTGACGTTTGGACTCTATGGCTTTCATAATCCTTTTATTACCGTGTTTGAAAGTTAAACGCCTTTATGGAGTACGCAAAAATAAACCCAAATAGGACAGCAAATCCGACATTGATTACAGCAACAAACCCTAAAAAGTCATAGTCAAACCCAAAATAACTGCTGACAAACTCTGAAACCATTTGACCTGATTCTAGCTTCTCTTTCACATCTCCAAATTGGGAAACAACCAATCCGTATAGTGTCCAAGCAACAGGACATATGTAGTAGTACCACCTCCACCATATGGGTATCCTCTGGGGTAAAAGGGTAAAATGGTAAAATGCCGTTAGTATATTTGTAAAAGTAACCGGACAAAGGGTAATTTGTCATTTGACACATTTCATCTTAATTTAGGACCAAAACAGCAAAAAGGATAGATTAGGTTCCAAAATTGAAAAAACACATGAAACTTAGGGACCATTTTTGTAATTTACTCAAAAACTTACTGTTCGTGGAACAATGAATCCGGAGAAAAGATTCCATAATGCAAAAAAAGCAGATGAGATTATAGCAGCGATGTTGTGGTTAGGTGTGACTGCAACTGTCATCATCCCATAAAATGTGAAGTAGAGTAACGTGAAGTACATAAAGAAGAGCTGCCAAAAGAATTTCACTATTGTCCACTCGTATCCAATCATCGCGTATACAATAATCCCGTATACAATTGTTTGAACAAAAATATATGGTATCTCAATCATAACCTGCATAAAATAATTACATCTGTAAGTAACAGATATTTTTAAAACATCATTTATCCAGACAAAACTTTACCTGTCCAAAAGCGTATGGAAAAGCTGAGTACATCCCAGCAGCTCTTTCCCTATAAAAAACTGTTCTTTCAATAGAAACAACAGGTTGCACGGATACCGCATTTTGTACTCCAATAAATGTTACAGCAGCATACATAGAACCCATCGCATTGAAAAGATCTTGTTGTTTTTCCCTATATCCAATAGTTTCTATATTTAGCATCAAGCAAATTAAAATATATTTTTTTAGCTTTCTTTTTTTACCTTTTTGACCCCATGTCCCAAAAGATTGTCCCAAACATCAACGCGATAAATGTTGTGAATAAAAACCTCACAGCAGTGTATGGTGGGTTCCGCCAATATGACCAATGTTGTTTCCATAGACATGCCATACATTGTGTCCAAAAAGATTGGGAATATTGTGTACGGAAATGTATATCGGTGGAGCCAGGTGGCGGTTGGCTGTTTTCGTTTATCAATTCCTTATTTCTCCTGAATTAGTCAACAAAAGTCAATACCATAAGTCAAGAAAAGTCAAGATAAGAGTGTAAATAGGTGGAATCTCCCTACTTGTATAGTTCGGAGTTTTTGTATATTTCAGCAAAGTCAACACCTAAAGCTGATTCCTGTGCTCCTGAGGTCACCTCCAACATCCATGTTGCCGGATTATAACCATCTTTAATTTTGCTCACTCCATCAATGTCCTTAATTCATTACATGATTAGTTTTTGATGTTAGTTTTGAACGTTGATACATGTAGAAGGGTAAAATGGTCATTTTACTCACCTCAAAGTACTTGATCAAATGACAAGAATGACGGCCTAATGGACCGAAGTATATCTCTTCACCTCCACGTTTCAAAAGAAGTAGCTGCAAGTTAAAAAAAATCAGTATTTAGTTATTTTTTTTTCTTGCATTCAACCCATTAGAAAACAAAACACTTTAAGTTTATATGATCAAAACATATACCTCATCAAAAGCATCAAAAATATCAATGCTTGGCTGATGTATCGTACATACAACAGTTCGACCCGTGTCAACAGTGTTTCTAACTGTTCTCATGACTATAGCCGCCGCCCTTGCATCCAATCCAGATGTCGGCTCATCCATAAAAATTATGGACGGATTTGCCACTAACTCAACTGCAATTGTGAGTCTCTTTCTTTGTTCTGTTGAAAGCCCATTCACACCCGGCAAACCCACAAGCGCTTTGTTTAGTGGAGTTAGCTCCACAAGTTCCATCACCTCCTCAATAAACATCTGAAAATCCTAAGATGTAAATAATAAAAGTTAATTATAAAACAAAAACATTTTTTCTCTCAATTAATTATTTTCACCTTTTTAGTTGGTGAATCAACTTCGGGAGGCAACCTTAGCCACGCGGAATACTGTAGGGATTCGGATACAGTGACATGTGGGGAATGAATATCGGTTTGCTCACAGTATCCGGATATGCGAGCAAATGTTTCTTGTTTCTTCGGGTACCCGGATATACTGATCCTTCCGTCGGTATACCCACCCGTTTTTCGACCCGCTAAGACGTCCATTAAAGTAGTCTTACCAGCACCACTAATCCCCATTAAAGCTGTGAGAACCCCAGGCCTAAAACTACCACTAACACCCTTCAACAATTCTAGCTTGTCTTCTGGAACCCCTTGAGCTTTCATTTCCTGCAACAACATCGTATTTAATATTTTAATTACAATTTGGTCCTTCAACTTTGAAATTTATATTTATTTCGTGTTAGATTTTACAAGTTGGTCGTGTCTTGGGGTGTAAGTTACCTGAGGCATATCCACAGAGTATCTGATTTCATCAAATGTGAGGGAAAGGGGAACAAAAGGCAAAACCATCCCACGCTTCTTTCTCTTATCAGCTTCAGTTATAGTGCCTACTCTTGATGACATTGACTTTGACGATATACTTCTTCGAATTTCTTTTGTTTCTGTATATACTTTTTATACAAATCTTTATTTCAATAATGTTAATACTTATAAAATTCCAATGAATGTTGTTGATAAATGATAACCCACCTGATGAATCTCTCACTGCTAATTCAATCGCGTCTCCTGTTTTTATAGCATTTCGTGCAGCCAATTCTTCCTCAGATAGAACTGCCTGAGGCTTCCCTAAGGCTGCATTTGATGTAAAACGATCGTAGTTCATTATCGGAAGATCTTTATTTTTACTCTTTTGGAGCTTAAAATGATAATAATGGATAATATAAGGTGTAATTTGAATCCTTACGATTTAGAAAAGTGAGAGCCAAGATGTTGAAGATATTAAAAACCAACATATATCCAAGTAAAGCACCTACAGAGATCCAATACCATTTTGCTTCAGGGAAAAGTCCCCTAGACTTTAGGACAGCAACACCTATTGTTTCTGTAGAGTTTGGTAAAACCTGAAACACAAATTTACTCCATAAGGAAAACACAAATGAGGGAAAACTTGTATAAAGATAGGACTTAATGGAGAAAGCCTCATTTCCTTGACTTTATCTTTATGCATTAAGTAAAAGGAAACATTGTGAGAGCTCAAATGAGGGCTTACTTGTCTCCAATCTTTTCCAAGGAACTCATTGACAGCCATACCATTCTGCCCATACATCAAAGGTGAAAGCCAGTAACCCCATGCCCACCAACTCTTTATATCATCTAAAGGTGCAAAAAGAAGTTGATCAATTTATATAAATTCTATATTTTATTATTTTGACAATATATCTACATGCATACATATATTTATATTTTTACCACGGGCCAAGACGAATCCACCTAGCACAATAAATGCAAGAAATGCAAATGATCCAACTGTGTTGGCAACAATGATATTCCTTCCTAATGCTGCTATGAAACGAAATACTGCTGAAGCCATTTGGTGAATGCATATGAGCAGAAGCAACTGTCTGAAAAACCTGCAACATGTTCAAGGGCATTTACGTCTTTTCCACATACAAGAGATCTCCAATGCACGTCAAATGCAGTACAAGACCATCAACAAATGGGACCTTGGTTCAAATAAACGACCATTTTAGGAAATAGTTTAATGATAAAATTAAGAATGGTCATTTAAAAAATAAAAAACCGGACCAAAATTGCAATCTAATTCGTTTCGGGACGAAAACCTAAAAATGTGCTAAACTCAGGGACCAAAATTGTAATTACCTTCCGGCATCTGGATCAAACCCTATGACATAATAGGTCAAGATTACCCATGTGGCAACTTCAAGAATTGTTACTGGGATCTTGAGGAACCATGTGGGTAGTGAGTATACCCATGCAGGATAGAAGAGAAGGTCTCGTTGCTTGTAGAACACAGGAAGTTTTATAATGCTTAAACCAAGCTCAGAGAATCCGTTAAATGTAATTGTGAGTATTGTGAAAAACATAGCACCCATGAATACTGTTCCATCCACTATTGTTTTCTTTGGCATCTCAGTTCGTAGGAATAGTGTCATTGTTGTTGTAGCCAAAAAAGTAAGCTGAAAAAGTAACAGATAAAAAGATGTGAATACCCCCTCATCCTTATCCCCATCATAAAAAAATACCCTTAGAAAGCTTATATATCATGCTTGTTTATTTAATTACTTACCTGTGTCATTTTGAATATATACACAAAGGAGTTTCTTTTCATAAGCAGGTATTCTCTAGATATGCAAGCTTTTAGCAATTCTTTTTTGCTAACACCATATTTTTTTGTAGTTAAAGCTGCAGGGTGACTCTTTGTTTTGTCAAATGCAACACCAAGTTCATCACCTAATTTTCTTCCCACATGAAACAACCGAAATGCTTCTGAGAATTCTTGCACTGTAACAAAACTGTAAGCTTCAGTTTTTCTTATCCAGTATTGCTCTTGATCTTTCTTTGATGTTACCTGTAACATGAAACTAGCATTAGCTGAAAGTTCAATAACTCCAAAATGAAATTTTTGTTACATGTAACAAACGCAACCTAGGAGCTAAACATTACTTCTTGTAAAAAATCAGCAACTGCTTTTCTCTCAGGACATTTGAAACCCATGTACTCAAAGAACTCAAGCACATTTTCTCTAGGACCTTGATACACGACTTGTCCATCTGCTAAAAGTATGACATCATCAAATAGGTCATAGGTTTCAGGTGCAGGTTGAAGGAGTGAGATGACAGAAGTTCCTTCAAGTATGTGAATTGATTGCTTAATTGAATTCACTATTTGGAAAGTGGTTGAACTGTCTAAACCCGTTGATATCTCATCCATTAGCAACACTCTTGATGGCCCCACCATCATTTCGCCTGTTGTGACTCGCTTTTTTTGTCCCCCTGAAATGCCCCTAAACATTTCATCTCCTACTACAGTGTCTGCACACACTTCAAGACCTAAAATCTGCATATTTGAACATAAATACCGGAGCATTAGTTGTGTTTTTCTCAAATATTCACTTATATTTGATGCATTTTAAACAGAACACGTCAATGGGACAAAAGTTGCAATTTTTTGTCCCATGCAAAAAGACATGGATGCCCTCTTTATTATCATTATCGAAAATATCCCTGAAAAGAACACATGCAGTATCTTGAGCTATTACCTTGATAACATACTCGGTGACAACACTAGCCTCTTGACCTTCTATTGATGATGCCTAAAGAATTGATCAAGAAATATTAAAGATTAGATCAAGAAACAGAGTATATATATACTTCTTATGATGATACTACAAATATAACTAGAGGGTGTAATTTTCCCATATATTAAACCCGAGAACAGTTGTTTTGTTTTGAATGGTCAAAATAGAGTTAAGTAGCTGAATCAATAAACTGATGAACTACAAGTGCTTTTCTGTGTTTTCCCCTTATTTTTTAACAATGGTTTCTATAATCATATTTATATTAATTAATTATGAAATCAAAACCAAAAAGGCCTAGGAAAAGCGTTGCCATACCTTCATGTAGATGTCAAGATCAGGATCAGGCTTGATGTTTGCTTCCTTTTCTCTTCTTGACAATTCTGCCAACATTTCTAAAAAGGAAACAGTGTAACATGTTTATTTGGCCCCATTTTACACAAAACAGGACAACTTATATACTGTGTGTGGGGTCCATTGGAGGGAGACTGATGTCAACGGGACAAAAATTACAATATATTATTACTAACCATAATTTGCTCCAACTCCTTGGCATCTGGCTGAAAAAGCAAGTGTTTCTCTAACTGTCATTTCTCCAATATGAAGATCATATTGACTTATATAAGCTGATGTTCGTTGAGGGACAAATTCGTCCATTTCATGCCCATTGTATGTCACTCTTCCCGATACCTTTCGTAATGCATAAATGCAGTGTTTTCAGTTTCAATTCTTTTTACATAAAGTAGCTTGCATTACAGATACAATTTCAGATTAATGATATGTTAAATTCGACTCTTTTGGCTTACTTGTAAATCTGACCCAAGTTTTCCAGCCAAAGCCAAAAGTAGTGTTGTTTTCCCAGAGCTTGGTGGGCCTAACAGCAATGTCATTCTGTGGAATTCATCAGTGTTACTTCTCACATGCAAAAAGGAAAATAGCAATATACTTCCATACATTTGTATATTATAATATAATATATTGTCATACTTAAAAAATTTAACTACTTGTAGCATTGTACTTCTATTTTTTTTTTTTATAATAGACACATAAATAAAAATACTTTGTTATTGCTTGCATGTAGTCCTTACAAATTTGTTTGTTAATATAATAAAATAAGTTAGGTGAGTGCAAACACTCTATAGTACACTTTGACCAACTGTTTAGTTTTTGTAATTTACTTGTTTGGCCTATTATCAATAAAGCATAACCCAAATTACCCCATTTTAACAAATAAACAGGCTGTCATTAATTGTCTTTAAAATGTAACCATTACTGTACTAACTAACTTACCTGCCAGGCTTAACAATACCACTGACATCATGAAGGATTGGTAATGTTTTCTTTCTACTGGGAAGAAGATGCAAATAATTTAAGGATCCCTGTTTTGTAAGAAAAATAGAATCAGATTTTAGTTAAAAACTATAATTTTTGAGAAACTAAGACCGTTGTCATTAAAAAAAACTACAATTTTTACTCTAGTAAAAAAGGTGAAAAAAAAAAACTACAATTTTTGATTCTAGTTAAAAAGGTGGGACAGAGACCCGCTCTCTAATTATTGTTTCTGTACAAAAGGCATGAATGCCCTTACCGTCATCATCAGAAATAGCTTACAGAGCTTTCTAGGGCTACTTTTAGATCATCGAAATAGCCTAACTTTATAGGGCTAGTTTCGAGGATAAGGACAATCTCGTCTTTTGCACAAACAAGAAATTGTGAACAATCCTTATCCGACCTTTTTGGATGAGACAAAAATAAGTGACATCGATAACGGTACCAAGTACTACCCACCGGTACCCGGTATCAGTACCGGTAACAGTATTAGGTATGTACTACACCAGTATGGGTACTACAAGTACTGTAGTGTAGTACCCGGTATTGGTATTGGTACTGATACTGATATTGGTGTTGAGTTGTGAATTAGAGGTGAAAGAAGAAGCACCTCTAGGATGTTAACCAAGAAGTTGAATATAGTAGGTAAAGCTCTCCCACCAATATAAGCTTCCGCGTCAACATTCAAATGCTCAAACCGAACTTCAATAGTTGGAAGCCGAATTCCAACTCTGTATTCATCCAAGTCAAAACACCAACAAGTCAACAACCATAAAAAGAAAAAAAAAAAAAAACCCATTTAAAATTAATTACCGATCAATTCTTCCTCTAAGCTTCATCAAAAACTTCTCATTATCTTCTTCAGCTATCTTAACAAGCCTCTCCAACAGATTCATTCTGTCAACCAATCCAAGATTCTTAACATTAATCTCTTTCGGGCAGCCTTTTTCTTCGGTCAGTATGCCTCTTTGTAACCGAAGATTTGTGGGCAGTCTCTCAATAGCTGCCCATTTTAATGCTTCTTCATCGTCTTCTTCACGTGAAGATCTTGAAAAGACATCTCTACCACTGTTCCTCCATATGTTTGAACTGTTAGCTCTAAATCCTTCCCTACTCTCCATGATTATCACAGAAAGGCGAGAGAAATGAAAATTAGCGATTTATTCATCAACTGGGTTTTAAGTTTCTTCTCTTTTGTGCTTGTGGTTGATCTTTCTCTATTTTCTTTTTTCTTTTGCAGGAAACAATTAATATATATATACGTGGGAAGATCGTATACTTGTGTAGTATGTATAGCATTTTGGTTAAAGATAAAAAGGCGAAACTTGTATCGCTGTTGTGGAATAATGATGTAGCCAATGATATCGTGCCTACTTTAGGTGAGGTGTAATTTCACTTGGACTGGAATCAATCATTACTCCAGTAGTGATTATATTTTTCTACGTCATTCTGAACTCATTGTTTTTTCATCAACTACCTTCTTTTTTAATTTATTTTCTTTGCCGCGTGTATATAAATATATTCTTAAAATTATATATTTTGTTAATCGTCAATGAATGGATCTTATTTTGACCCCAATATTGTTGAATTAAGATTCGTGTTTGGTGAATGATTATGTTTGAATAGAAATTTTTTTTTATTGATTTTCTAATATTAGGGATGGTATTTTTTTAGAAAGTAATATAATTTATATTTATTTATTATGATATTATATTTTTGATTTTTTTATTAAATTATATATTTTTTAAAAACTCTAAATAATTAAAAGATATATATATATATATATATATATATATATATATATATATATATATATATATATATATATATATATATATATATATATTTTTTTTTTTTATTACAGCTTAAGGTTTTAGCGTGTTATTCTTATAACTAGTTTATAACCCGTGAAAACCACGGTTATAAAATTAATTGAAATTTTATAGTAAACCTCAAAATTAATAACTAATTATTTTAAATAAATTATTAATTACGATATATTTATATTAGTTTTGTGAAATTATAATTGTTCATTTAAATAAATATATATAATTAATTTATAATATATATTAGACATTTTTTATTTGTAAATTAATGAAAACAATAATATAAAATTTAAAATGAAAAATAAATACATTGACAAATAACATCACATTAATTAGAAGGTCTAATAAATAAATAAATTTAAAATAAATAACTAATAAATTGACAAGTGACATTATATTAATTAAGATGTCTAATATAGTGACACATGACAAAATGACTACTCTTTTATTAGTATAGGGATTTTATTCCTATAAACAAAAATTCGCTAATTATAATTGACTTTTCGATAATTCTTTTTTTGTTTATTTTTATATATATGATGTCTTTTTAAAAAAAATTAACTTTTTTTTTCTAGTGCCTTAATATTTTACAAATTTGTTATCATTTATTAATTTTCCTTCTATTTCCTAAATTTGCCAAATACTTTTTGATCATCGTTTGAACGTCAAAAAAAGAGCCTAAGTTTTTTCATATAAAATAATTTGTGAAATTTGCATCTAAACCTCTATGGATATATTTTGGATCACTTTAAAAATGATGGACCTTTTCTCTTTTTCGGTTGATTTTTTTATTTAATTTTTTAATTTATTTAAGCTGTTACATATAAAATATTTTTCATTTCAGAATGTCAAACATATGCTCGTGCACTCATGCAAAAAGATGTTTGAACTCATTTTTGTGATGAATAATAATGAATTAGTGTGCATGCATGCCAGGGTGATGGTGTGTTCACTTTACTTTAGTTTTAAGCATGTCCTAATTATCCCTAGATTATATTAATATCATAGCTAAAAAGAAAGATAGGCATTATAACCTTTTAAATTTTTTAATAAAATTAAATAAATACTTGATGTTAATGGCCAACCACCATGCTTAATGGGTTTTCAATATTAAAATAAACAATGTATAAACAACAACCAACCAAGAACATAACATTTTTTATGAATAATAAAATGATGAGGGATTCCTACCCTCATGATTGTAATTAGAAAAACTTATTAAGGTATCCCAAGCTCATCATATCATCGTATCCATCATGAGGGAGCTTTGTAATTGGGTCGAATATGTAAATTACGACATAAATTAATGAAGCAAGTTGGGTTGATTCGCTCTTTATTTGTCTCACATTGATTCTAAATTATATATATATATATATATATATATATATATATATATATATATATATATATATATATATATATATATATATATATATATATATATATATATCAATAAAAAAATCATATAAGAGTATTATAATAATCTTTGCATAGTTAATTATGGTAGATCAACAACAATTCCTGATATCACGCAAGAAGCAAAGATAAATTTAGAAAATTTGCCATTTTCATTGCTCAGGACCACGATCAATCTAATATCCCTGACAATTTCTACTCAGGGTCCTGAGATTTAGGGTTTATTTTTCTATTTCAAAATCTTGGATTTTGATTGTAATTATATCTTGGATTTTCATCGTTCTTGTAGTCCACACGCAAAAAGAATTCAACGTCATTGCAGATTAGCAAAAGGCAACAAAAGACAAGCGATAGTCGATCATCTTGTCATTCAGGCTTCAGCAACTGCAATGTTGAATGGTTTAGGGTAGGTTTGATTACTCATTTGAATCATGAGTCATTACCGGTTTATAGTTTTATCAGGTAATCGATTATCATTCGTTATTCCGTTTTGATAGGTTATAATTGAATGTTGAACTTGAATCATTAAAGAAATAAAAAATTAGAATGTTGAATTTATCAGTTTATAAGAATCGCATTATAGTTATGACTTATGGAATCTAATTAAATGTTGTTTATCTAATTGAATGTTGAAATTCTATTGAAATCTCATTATCTGATTGAATGTTGAAAATTGTGATTATAATCTAAAATCTTAAAATTATTATATGATTGAATGTTGACATCAGTTTATATTCATGTTGAAATCTATTTGAATGACTTCATATTGAAATTCTGAAACAAATTTTTACAATGGCTCTTACTTTAATATCTCTCAAATTTGAAGTAAGAATTATAAATGGGCTCAATAGTATGTTGTTTAAAAAAAGTATCATGTTCAAAATGTTTCATTTGAGTACCTTTTTTTTTTTTGGTTTTTTTGATGTAAAACTTGTCAAACCGTTATGATTTTACTAGTTATCATTTGTTTCTAATGAGGTCATGGATGCTCATAGTTCCAGTTTATTTGTTTGCTTTACCAAATGAATGTTAATATAACTTGTTTGCTTTACCAAATGAATGTTATCCTTTGTTTCTAATAAGGTTATGGATGCTAATATAACCTTGGGCCAAGAAGGAGTACGCTGTGCGTACATAAGAGTATGCTAAGCGTACTAAGGTCCGTCTTAGTACGTTGGGCGTAAACTTGTGTACGCTGGGTGTACTAATGTTAGGATGAAATCTTAATATTTAGGGTTTGGGGGCTATATAAGCAACATTATGAGCACCTAACCTTCCCTTACCCAGCCTCCATTGCTTAGAGTCGTTTTCCCAAACCCTACCCATTTCCTTGAGTGTTTTAAGAGGAAGGTGTTACATCAAGGAGTTGGAGAAGAAGATCAAGCTTGTAGATCTGAAGTTGGGTTGTGCCCTAGAAGCTCTAGAAGTTCGGGAATTTCGGTGAGATAGCAGTCAGAGATTTTCAGTACTTTAACACTACTTGCGAGGTGGGTTATTCTCACTATACTCAAGGGTCTAAGGCACCAAGGCCGTCCCTTTTGGATTGTTATCCTGATATGTTATGCTAGTATGATCTGTTAGATCGGTATCCTGGTAGATAGGACTGTATATGCTATTATGATCTGTTAGATCAATATCCTGGTACATAGGATGTTATTATGCTGCTATGATCAGTTAGATCGGTTTATCTGTCTATAGACTGTTATGTGATTATTTGTTATATGTGCACATGTTTGATTGGTGGTTGAGGCTTATCTACTTTATGCAAAAGCCAATAGACTTGGGCATTCCAACATGTTGGTTGTAGGCCGTAAGTATTCTATCCCGAGGATGATTGGACTCATAGTACATGGGCATTCCAACCTGTTGGTTGTGGGCCTGTGGTATTCCATCCTGAGGATGATTGGACCCGTAGTATGTCGGCATTCCAACTGGATGGTTGAGGGCCTGGGGTATTCCAACCCAATGGTTGACTGGACCCATAGTATGTTGTTTATGATTATATGTGTATTGTTGTGTGTATGGGTATTTTGGGGGAACTCACTAAGCTCTCAGGCTTACAGTTTCAATTTATTATTTCAGGTACATCAGGGGACAATGGCAAGGCAAAGGCGTGAGCGTACCGCTCCTCACTTTTTATGACTTTGTTTATGGGAGACTCTGATATAGACTATTTTGAAAACAAATTTGTAATGACTGCTGCTTTTTAAATGTTTTAAAAAAGTTTAAATTTGGCATGATTTTTATGGGTGTTACAAGTTGGTATCAGAGCCTTGGTTTGAGTGAATTGGAAGTACACTCGTGTGAATCCAGTCTCAAATCAAGGAAAAGATTTTCAAAATGACTTTTCAAATGGTTTTCAAAATAATGATGGAGGATGCAAGTGTACGATCAGCCGGAGCCAATAAGTAGACCCCAAAATACCATACGGTTATTTGATATTGTGATATGTTAGAACAACAGGCTAGTACTAGGCTAGGGATCTTCAGGAATTGCATGATAGAATTGCCTGATTACATGATGCCTGCTAGCCTACGGTTTTCCTTATATGAGATTGACATCATTATTGTAGTTGCTTGTGTATGTATCATGTCTGTACATAATTAATATCTTATAGCCTGAGAATGTTTGGTTTGGCCTTATGTTCTGTTCTTGATTGATTGGGGGCTTAGGGTAGGATCCGATATTCGAAAGTCTATAGGGTCTAGCGTTATGTATGGCTAGCATACTAGTGTTGTAGGGTTGGTGGAAGTTTCATGGATGTGTGAGTTGTGAAAGGCGGGTAGGTCGATGTGAGACAGTTAGCTTTCCTCTAGGAGTGAGGATTGAGCGACCACCATATGAAAATATATTGTTAGGGTGTTGTGGTGATACTTTAGACAAATATGGGTAGGTATGGAAGGTAGTATGGGACCGTACTACTGAAAGCACATGACCCATACACGTAGCAAGGAAGTCACAATCCCTAGGGTTTAGTCGGGAGTTGGTTCCATATTATTTATGCA